TGGAAGTGAAAGTTGAACACCATATGCTTGATCTGATTCGGACTCTGTTTTGGACTCTGTTTTTGGTTTTCTTCAAAACCCATTAAAAAGAATCGAATCTTTTTCACCGAAAAACCAAACAAGAAACACAACGACTGGTTAAAACGATCGACGAGGAGGAAGAGAAGTGTTAAACGGTGGTTGTTAGAGATTTTCCGGTGAGGTTGTTGATGCTAAAAAACGGTGATAGAAAAAGGCCAAGGATCAACAGCAGAAGATATAATGAGAAGGAAGAGAGAAAGATCTGAGTCGGTGAGAGATCTAGGGATGTTGCTCATGATAGGCTAAGCATGAAGAGAGAAAAAAGGTTTTTATTTTGTTTTTGAGAGGAGGTGATTTCGGAATTAGGAAATATACGTATCTTTTTATATACTACTTGGTCTTGGGCTCTTGGCGTAGGGTTTTTGCTTAACGCGCACATTTCCAAATAACTGTAGGCTTTTTCTTCTATTTTGTTTTTGTTTTTTTTATTAATTGATTAATGAGGTGGAATTGACGTGGTAAAAATTGGGAGCGTGTGAGGAGTATTTAGGGTAGGGTTTTACCGATTTTAGGAGGTTTGTTTACATCACCAAATTATTTTAATGTTTTATGTTTTGTGTATATCCAGTAGTTTGGACAGGCAAATTCATTCGTTTATTTATTTTATTAAGATAATATTTTTGTTGTTTCATATATACATATAGCCCCTATATGTATATGATGATGTAAAAAAAAGAGAAGAAAAATATGTGATTTCAGTATCTACCTTTAACTAATTAGTATATTGGGAATTAATATAATTGTTTAGCTTGTGATAAGTTACATTACCTTGGATTTTAGTACTATTAAGATATGCAAACAATATTGTTCTTTTTCTATCTCTTTGTTGGCTAATGTTTTTGAAATAAATTCAATCATTTTATTTTTTTCTGTTTGCAGCTGCATTAATATCATTTTATGTTGTTAATATATAATGCTATAGCTTACAAAAATTGCAAGGGTAACTTAAAAATATATTGATCTTGTATGTGTAATACAAAAAATTATCTAGTTAACTATCAAACATTGTTAGGATTAAAAAAAAAAAGATAGACAAGCAATTGTCCAATCTCAAAGAAAACTGATCGTTGTGATTTGGTTGCTGTTTTAGTTTTACATCATTACCTTCTAAGCTAAGCTAAAAACATACTAATCGGATTTGGTTGCTGTTTTACTTTGATCAGCTGGCAGTCTGGCACAAGGCCCCTTTGGCATTTCAAAAAGCCAACGACTCGGTAAATTGAATGGATAAATATATATATATATATATATATATATATATATATATATATATATATATATATATTATGTGTAGGACTCTCTTTAACATTATAACTAAAAATCGGAAGTGGCCAAAAATTTCTAAAAGAGTCGGAATAGACATTGAAGTAATGTGTTTCACCAGTACTCATTGTTCGATGTTTGGCCACCGTGACTAAAGGTAAATGGATAAACACGACTTAAGGTAAATGGATAAACACGATTAAAGGTCAAACCTATACCTAATCTTAGAGATAGTTATAATCGCTTCCGTATTTCCAAGAGGTGCATGCGAAATTACATCCCCATAAACACATATTTTTAATATTATATTATTTAGTACGTATTCGTTTTGTTAAGTTTTTGTATAATATATTTGACTTTATACAAATTTAAAAAGTCATATGGATTTAAGAAAGTATAAAACCGTATAGAAATCAAATGTATATATCTAACGTGTTAGATATATAGGATCCATACGAGAATATGCTTATTCGCATAAATCACATTAGTCCGAAATCATTCAATAGGCAATCACATTAGTAAATCAAAAATAAAAAGTTGATGTTGTTTGGTTTATGAATACATAATTATATTCATTCCAACATTTTGAAAATTTGTAGCTTGCTTTTAACCAAACTAAAAAAAAAAAATATGTGGCTTGAGGTTTGAGATTGCTAGGTGGAAGGCATTATTCATAGGAACATGCTCGTGAAAAATTCAAATTCCATCTCCAATGAATTTTTTTTTTTTAAGCGAGTGGTTAAAGACTCTGCCACGTCATTAAACGTGGACCCACGAACTGTTGTCATAGTACAACACGTCAGCGTAACGTAATCCTCTGCGCAAAATGACAAAAAAGTCCTTTGCCGAGTAAGCGGATGTCGCGCCTCCTCAGGTGCTTATAACGCCGCCGATAAAACACATATCCAATAACTAGATGACACGTGTTGCTTACTTGGGTTATTTGCCCTCACTTTGGTTTTGTGCTTCTTATCCGGTTCATCTTATTATAATGCTTTGGTTTTGAAAATTTCGGATAAGGGTTGGTTCAATTAGGATCTGCTTTGGAAGCACAAGCATAATCTTAATTCCAGACTCTAAATGATAAGATTGCAAAATCATATAATAATATTAGTTACAGAATAAAAATTTGCAATCGCACAATAAATAATGTATAGTAAAATATGCAATTAAATATTTATTTATTTGCATAATGAAGTTTTATTTATATTTTTAGACGAAAACGCATTCTACGTTTTCAAGTTTTAGTAAACATTATGCAAAAAAATAATTTATAAAATTCTTGTATAATCGCATTAGAAAACGCCACTCTACTATTGTATGTGTTACCAATCGGAGCTCCAATGTCCGTATATTACTTTTTTGTGTTCACAACGTAAAAACGCAAAAAAAAATTAATTGATAAAAATTTTGCATAATCGTATTAAAAAATTATTCTACCATTATACATGTTATCAGTTGGAACTTCAATGTCCATATATTACAATGCGAATATTTATTAGGCCAAAATGAGACCAGAATTGGTTTGTGTTGACATCAGCTCGGTTTGGTTTGGTTTCATTAATTAGGATTAATTACGAGAGAATAAGAAGGTTCCAAAGTTTGCGGACCATCATGTCGGCACGATATGACAAATGACGACCATATGGATGAGTAATAGCCGTTGGATTACCAAGAAAGTTGGAATCATGTGCTCTTTGTTATAACTTTGATCTTGAGTTTTTATTTTTCTTGATATAAAAGCGAACGACGACTTTTTGTCAAAGTGTCCATACACGCCAGGGAAGGCAGAATTAAAGGCGTTATAAAAAAAAAACTAGTGTCGTTAGGTTTAAGATTGTATAATGATTAGTTATACTCTTAATTAGGATTTGACGTTTGAATAGAATCTAATCAAAGATCATAAGAAACGAAATTAAACCGAAACAAACAAAATTTACATCAAATTAAAAAAAAACTTTTATTTAAAATTTAACCAGAAAATTTAAAAAGAATCAAACCATATCAAATCAACCCAAAGGAATTTCAGTACTAATTCTATATATCAAAACTATTTCTAACCCAAACCTTATATCAAACTATTCGACCCCTAGTGCTTGTTGTTATCATAACAAATTTATATGAACTGGAAAATAAATAAAAAACATATACAAAGGTCGAATCATATTCGTAGAATAAGACTAAAGCATCCTTGGTGTTTAGGGCCACATCCCACATGTTAAAAAAGATTTGTGTTTCGAGTGGCTCAAATTCTCAACCAAACATTTGAATATATTTTTAAAAGCTATTTGACTTATTAATTTATGTCAATTAATTATTTAATTGCATGTGTGTATGAGTAGAGGTTCTCCACCCACACAATCTAAGCTTTCAGGTTTCAACTACTCCGAGAAAAAACGAACAAACATTTTCTATTTCGTTAATTACATCATCGTCGAGTCGCCAATAAGAATTTAAAATCTCTCTTTTTATCAAGTGAAATTGAAAGATTAATTTAAATTGAAAAATTAAATAGGTGTCGTGTTTTACGTGGATGTGACTAGAGCTACTTATCAAGACACGCATTAGCTCGTCATGTAAAACTTGTAAACTAAATTTTAAATGTGTTTATGTTGTTTTGACTATACGTTAAAAGTCTACCGAAACATACTAAACTATACATAGTAAAAGCAAATGACACGTCGATGAAATTGATGTCAAACAAAAATGTAGTAACGTCGAAAGAAATATTTATCTATTCGTATTCGTTTTGGTCTTATAATTGAGTATCATTTCATATTCAGTCATATTATGTGCGTTTGGATATTCGAATTGTGCATGCAATAGCTGAGGGATAAAAGTCTTTGGTGGCCCAAAATTGTTTGGTTCTTTCTTCATTTCTGTAATTGCATTCTCTTTCGGTCATAAATTTTTTCACAAACTCAATAATCATACTTGCAAGCGAGAAAGCTCTTATTACTCGCAATGTAATCAGATTCTTGTAAGCCTCCTTTGGACATTCTTCTTCTGTTTCCCTTTTCAAAGATTTTTTTTTTCAGTATGTGCACTATATAGCATATTTTTAGAGCTTGGTTGCAAAAAATACCCGTAACAAAACTTTTAAATAATGGATGTTCAATTTGCGCATGTTTTATTACTTGCTATGTAACCAGATTCTTGTAAGACCTCCTTTTGACATTCACCTCTTTTCTTTTCGAAGAATATTTTTTCTTCTTTCTATTTTCCTTTTGGCATATGCAATAAATAGCATGTTTTAAAGCTTGTTTGCAAAATGACACCATAAATTGTAAAAAATGATGCTAATTTTGAAGTTACGCAAATAAAGATAACATATTATTTAATCCGGTAACATACTGTTTTGCATGGTAACATGTTATTTGATAAAATAAAATAAAAAAGATAGAAATCAACATCCATATTATTTTACTTACCAAAAAAAAAAAACATCCATATTATTTTTATAATTGATTAAAAAAATTCCAAAAAGTCTATTTATCTGATTTTTTTTTTGGGGAAAATTATACACTGTAGTTTTGGGTGGGCTTCCACAAAATTCGATTATGAGACTGGACCCATAAACAGAGGCCAACCATATATAAAATCAATTTATTTCATTGACATTAAATTATATATCAAAGTACTTAAAAAATTTAATTAAAAATTTTTATCTTCAAAACCATCCACACACTGAGAAACAGCAGAAGAAAGGCTTGAGAGCCTTTTGCTCATGGCTTTAACATTGTCAACCACAAAGACCTTCACTAACATAAACTGCTCAAACAATACTACAAACATAACCACCTTTAAGCCTCTCAAGCTTCCTCTTTTCTGGCCATGGCAAAAGGTAACACACCAATACTTATTATATAAACCAAACGTAACAAAGTGTTCTCCTTTTTAATGTAATTGAATGAATGATCGATGGTTTTAGGTAAAAATGGGTCCTTTAAGTGTTTCTCCTATGGGTTTTGGGACATGGGCTTGGGGCAATCAGCTTCTTTGGGGTTATCAGACTTCCATGGATGATCAGCTTCAAGAAGCTTTTGAATTGGCTTTGGAAAATGGAATCAATTTGTTTGATACTGCTGATTCTTATGGTACTGGTAGGCTTAATGGTCAAAGTGAGAGACTTTTGGGTAAATTCATTAAAGAATCTCAAGGTCTGTCTCTTTTTAATCTCCCCCAATTTTGTTTCATTAGATAGTCTGAGAAATTTCCCTTTAGTTGGTTCTAAATTGCATCTTGGAGCTGTCTTTGTATGTTACTGTTGTGTGTTTGCTGATGCAATTATGATTTATGTGTTGTGTTTAAGGCTTTAAGATGATGATTTATGGTTGCAAATTTCAGTTCTAAAAGGGAAACAAAATGAAGTAGTGGTAGCTACAAAGTTTGCAGCTTATCCATGGAGGTTAACTTCAGGACAGTTTGTGAATGCTTGCAGGTCTCTCTAAGTCTTGGTTTTTGTCTCTCTTTTTCACTTCTGGTTTATTGGAGATTGGTGTTAAATTGGATGTTCTGTTCTTATGGCAGAGCTTCTTTGGACCGGCTTCAAATAGACCAGCTTGGGATCGGACAGCTTCACTGGTCGACTGCAAACTACGCTCCTCTACAAGAGCTTGTTCTTTGGGATGGTCTAGTGCAAATGTATGAAAAGGTTGCTTGGAAAATCTACTAAGATATGAAATCTTTTCAATGACTGTTAAGACTTAAGCACTTGGAAAGCTGATGATGGGTTCCTTTCTTTCAGGGCCTAGTTCGAGCGGTTGGAGTCAGTAACTATGGACCTCAACAGCTTGTGAAGATTCATGATTACCTCAAAACCCGAGGGGTTCCTTTATGCTCTGCTCAAGTGCAATTCTCATTACTAAGCATGGGGAAAGAGCAACTAGAGATCAAGAGTATATGCGATGAGCTCGGGATTCGTTTAATCTCTTATAGTCCTCTTGGTCTAGGAATGCTAACTGGGAAATACTCCTCTTCAAAACTTCCCACTGGTCCTCGGTAAAGTACTAACAGCTTGCTCAAAAGATCGATAAAACTAACCGTTGATTCCTGTTTTTAACTATGCTTGAACACTTTTTAAACAGATCATTTCTGTTTCGACAAATTCTTCCTGGATTAGAACCTCTGCTTTTAGCACTGAGTGAGATTGCAAAGAAACGAGGAAAGACTATGCCTCAGGTAAATTATCACACCATAAGATTATTGGGAAGAAGAAAATATGACACTTTGAAGAATGAGTTTAATCTGTTTTTGCAGGTGGCAATAAACTGGTGTATATGCAAAGGGACAGTACCGATACCCGGTATCAAGTCGGTAAAACATGTTGAGGATAATTTGGGTGCTCTTGGATGGAAACTTACAAATGATGAACAGCTTCAGTTAGAATATGCAGCTAAAGAATCACCAAAGTCAATGATTCAGAACATTTTTCAGACAAGATGATAGGATAAGAGAACATGCTTATACATCTAGACCACAAAATGAGAACAATGTGTATAAGTAGAAGTGTTTAATCTAATCTACTTCTATATATATGCACATATTGTGAAGAAAATTGCAACCATTTAAAAGCTTAGATTTGGACCTAATATCCACATTTTGTGCCGGTAGACATTACTAGCATAGTTGTGAGAGACACATAAACAAAGTTATCGATTGTCGTGTTTTCTGCTCTTTCAAGCTCTCTCTCTATCCCTTAGTGACAGAACTTATCATTGCAATTTCTGCATTTACATAGACATAACTTATCTTTCAAGCAACCAAATGTCTATCCCTATAACATAATAATGTTATTTTATACCTACAACTTGGCTACTAGTCTTGCTTGTTGTCTTCTCCATCCAACGAACTTTAATTTCCTCATTTAAATCTCATTAACTTTGTTAATCAGAATATCATTTAAAAACAATTATAGTTCCAAGAACATGCAAGTATATTTTCATAAACATTTAAATAAAATACTACTACTAGTAGTACTTTATTATTAGAATAAATTCTTTTCCATATGCTTTTGTAATTTAATACCAACTATATTCCAGATTTGGTTAATGACATACGCGGCTAAATTTAATAACATATCTTCAGCTTTATGTCAGTCAAAAAAAAAAAAGGCATTGTTATTTTTCTCTTTATTCCGTTACTCTTTAGTAAGACTCACAAGTCACACAACAAAAAATATACAATAAACATCATATTAATCAAATTCTTTTCAGTCTTTGTTTATAATTTTGCTAATAATAAGATTAAGTTTTGATTTGGCTTAGTTCAAGGTTTGATTTGACTTGATCCATAGATATTATTTATTACTAATCCGTTTTAACTTGATCTATATTTGATATAATCATTTAGATTTGTTCGCTAATCCTTCGAGTCCTTTTTTTTTGGTTATTGGATTAATCCAAAACATCTACATCTAAATCAACTTGAGTAAATCTCTTAACATTTTATTTAGATAAATCTTTTTTTTTTGTAGATAAATCTTGAATTATTTAGTTGCCCACTTTTCTCCATATAATCAATAATTTCGAATTGAAAAATCATTAATATATGAAAAGGTGTCAAATGAATTTTTGTTATTCTGTTATCTATAACATCAAATCATAAAAATCAATCCTAATTTAGATAAACCTTTGACTATATTGTTAGTATTTGCTATGGAAATTTAATATATTTCATTATCCTACCAAACAAAAACTATTCTAAAATAGAGTATTTTATAAACACCTATATATATTCCATTAACCATCGTGTTAATCCAATTCTTAACCTTACCATTGAGTAGACGTAGGTTCATTAGGTCAACATTCTTATGATTAGATTTGTTTTCTAGTAGACATCGTAAAAATTTTACTCGAAAATCTACAAAACTAATCATGATTATGTTCCTTAAAAGCCGCGGTAAAGTGGGAACGTAATGAAATCTTTTTAGCTTTTGACATTTAAAGTTTTTAACCATAGTTACACGTGTCATCTCCTCTTTGGTCATCCTCGATATCGCGTAAAAATCCACAAACGAAGACTAAAACGAAACGACGCTGTTTAACATTAAAATTCACCTACCAAATCGCGTGGTGAGTTAAAGCGCGTGTAGAATTAAAGTAAACGCGCGAGTCCACGCGCTTAATGTTTTAAAAGTAAAAAAAAAAAAAAAGACAAGAGCTGAAAAAGAAAGAGCAAAGTGGTTAAGAGAGGCTTCAGTTGTTGGATGCTTTTGCTTTTTTTCCTTCATCTTTCTTCTTCATCTTCTTCTTCTTCGTCTCTCCTTTTTTTTCAGTTTCGGCGTGCTAAAGAAGACGATAAGAGTCATCAATCACAGTGACAGGGCAAATCTGTCTTTTTTTTCTTAAATCTCATGCTTGATTTCTGCTACGGCGGAGGAGGAAGAGGAGGCTTACTTTACAATCACCGGGGAAGTTCCGGCGGTGATTCACCGTCGACGATAATGGGTTTTGTTAAAAGTTAGATCTTTGATGAAAGCAGGAGACTTTTTGATTTGATTTTGATTTGGGGTTTAGGTTTAAGTTTTTAGAGAATCAGATGAAGGCGTTACGGAGAAGCTATACTTCAACGTCTTCTGGGAATTCATCTTCTTCGTCTTCTTCGTTACCTTCTTCTTCTTCTTCGTCGTTACCATCTTCTTCTTCTTCCTCACCTCCTTCTTCTAATTCTAATTCTTCTTCTTCGAATTCTTCTTCTTCGTGGATCCATCTACGGTCTGTTCTCTTTGTGGCGAATCCTTCGTCTCCATCTTCAGTTACTTCTTCCGATCGGTGAGCAGCTAAAGTTTTTAGATTGGGAATATTTTGATGGGATCTTAAAGATTCTCTTTTTGATCCAATAATAGAGCTTGAATTGAATGTTCACAGTTTGGAAAGTATGATAAATTTTCTTAGTTAATTTCGATTAAAAAGTTTCTATCTTTGTTCGGATTGTTTCTTTGTTTTGCTGTTAGATTGATTTTGGCAATCAATGTTGATGATTTTGAGCTTGTAGGAACTTCTTATTTTGACTCTTGACTTTGTTTTTGCTTTGTGTAACAGCCGGCGGAAATCACCGTGGTCTCGCCGGAAAAGAAAATGGGCATTGACGCCGCATCAATGGAGGAGTTTGTTTACACCGGAGGGTAAACTCCGTGATGGTGGGGTTGGATTTCTGAAGAAAGTTAGAAGCAGAGTGAGTCTTTTGAACAAGGAACATATGTATGTCTTGATTCTTACTTGTGTCTTTATTGGTTCTGATGTATGTTGTTGTGGTTCTGTAGGGTGTTGATCCAAGTATTCGTGCAGAAGTGTGGCTGTTCTTGCTCGGAGTGTGAGTGTTTGTTCTTGTTTTGTCCTTATGGTCTTGGTTGTTTTTATTCACTCTGTTGAGATTCTCAACTTGTTTTCTCTTATTGCAGCTATGATTTGAACAGTACTAGTGAAGAAAGAGAAGCAGTGAAAACTCAAAAAAGGTTAGAGAAGGTCTATCTAGTTTGATCTATATATTGTCAATGTTTGTATTTAGATGCTGATAGATAATTTCATTGTTGGGATCTTTGAATGTAGGAAGGAGTATGAGAAACTACAGAGACGATGCCAAATGCTTCTCAAGTGCGGCAATGGGAATACTAATAATCTTGAGGAACTTCCTTCGGACGAGGCAAACGATCAATGTGTTCGGTTCGTGGATGATTATAAGATTACGGGATCAATGACAAATCAAGATGTTGTCTCTGCTGTGAACACTGATTCTTCGGATACAGACTCTTGTGATGATAATGAAGATGTTCTACTACTCTCATCTTTTGTACAAAGCGATGAAAGAAAGCTGGAGGAGGATAATAGTAATAACAATTCTGAAGAGAGTAGTTCTCCTCTTGAAGCTGCTGCTGCTGAGATCCAAGTAGAAGTTCCGGTACACGAAGATTTCTCTACGTGGCAACGTATCATCCGGCTTGATGCTTTACGTGCGGATTCTGAGTGGGCAACATATTCTCCATATTCAACTGCAATCACAGATAGCAAAGCTCGCGGTTTAGCTGAGTCTGTCGGGTTAAAAGACTATGATCACTTAGAAAGCTGCAGGCTTTACCACGCTGCTCGGCTAGTTGCAATTCTTGAAGCTTATGCTATGTATGATCCTGAGATAGGCTACTGCCAAGGAATGAGTGATCTGTTATCTCCTATCCTCGCTGTGATCTCAGAGGATCACGAGGCTTTCTGGTGCTTTGTCGGTTTTATGAAGAAAGCTCGGCATAATTTCAGGCTTGACGAAGCCGGGATTCAAAGGCAGCTAAGTATTGTTTCAAAGATCATAAAAAACAAAGACTCTCAGCTTTATAAACACTTGGAGAATCTTCAAGCCGAGGATTGTAGTTTCGTTTACAGGATGGTGCTCGTTATGTTTAGGAGGGAGTTGAGTTTTGAACAGACGCTTTGTCTTTGGGAAGTGATGTGGGCTGATCAAGCAGCCATTAGAGCGGGAGTTGGGAAATCGCCATGGAGCAGAATCCGGCAACAAGCACCGCCAACAGATGATCTGTTGCTCTACGCAATTGCGGCACTAGTACTACGTAGGAAACTGATCATACAGAAATACAGTAGTATGGATGAGATTGTGGAAGAGTGTAATAGCATGGCTGGTCAGCTTAATGTCTGGAAGCTTCTAGATGATGCGCATCATCTTGTTGTGACGCTTCACGACAAGATTGAAACTCTTTCTCAATCACAGAGTATTTGATGAAGAAGTCGATTCAAGCCAGAAATGAAGTGTTTCCACTACACAATGCCCTTGCACTCGTCTGGCTGCGTTTTGTCAAGGTTTAAAGTTTGTCGCGGTTTGGTTCTTACCGATTTCACTCCTCTCTCTTCTTCTTTCTTTTTGTTTCCTCGTCACACAGAAACACAATACTATCCTCATCACTTTTATTGTAGTACTAATGAAAAAGACAAGACAATATTCCTGTTGAAATGTGACGGATGAGTCTGAAACTGTCATTTCCACAACTGTATGAATCATATTTGTTCAATTGTAGAAATCCAGTTTCTCACTTCTTCATTTAGAGTGTCAAGCAGCATCAGTTTGGGCAAAACAAGCAGTCTTTTATTATATCATCAAAGTCGAAAACATGTCATCATAAACTCAACAAAGCAAAACTATGCGACGACGAAACTAGCAACACAATATTTTTGGTTCGTAATTTCAACAAGAATCAGTCTAAGACCAAACAACAGTAACAGTATTTTTTTAGCAAGAGAGATAGACAGAGATCGGTAGAGATATTCAATGACAAGCAAAAGCAAGCCTTTGGCTTCTAGTCTTTCTTGGTATAGTGACGGACAACAAGAGCCAGTCCCAAGATCAAGATCGGAACAAGGAACTGAAGAATCTTGATGATGAATTCCGGTGTCTTGTCTTGGTTGTACGCTGGTTGCTGCGGTGCAACGTATGTCCTTGTTGCTGGAACACTAGACGAATCAATCTCACCAATGAAATATTTATCCATCATGTCCCTAGCAGTGTCGCTGTGACCAACGTCTTCAAAATCATTCGTAGCATCTTTCCCTGCAACCAAACACCACACCAGAGCCACATCAGAACAGAAACAGTCACCGAGCCGCTTCAAATCCGCATTGAATCACAGGGAAACACAGTTAAATATTTTTTCCTACCTGTTGAGGACAACAAGACTTCATCGCCTCCAGGATGATCATCCATGAATGGAGTCACATCATACACCTAAACTCAAAGTTCAAGAACCAAACATTAATGAAACAATCACAGATCATAACCAAGTAGACAAAAACTCTGTTTCTCCAGTATGAATCAACATAGAATCAACTAAATCCACATCAGAAACAGTAAAGATTGTGTTTTTAAATCGTGAGGGGCTCGATAAAAGTTACTAGCAGGAACACTTCAGTTCTAAAACTTAAAAATCTAAGCTTTGACACAAATCAATGGCGGAAGAGAACTAAGTTGGCGTAAAATCCATCTAAAAACAGAGATTTGCTCAGACAAGATCTAACCTTGCCGGAAATAATAAGCCAACAATCCTTTGTTTTGTTGTGCTGTGAAACTTCTTCGAAAGTTAAAACTTTTCGATCTGAAGCCATCTCTACTGAAACTGCAAAAACAAGAACACATCAGATAAAAATCAAATCTTTGATATAATCAGAACAAAACAAGCATGAAACAGATTCAAATCGAAATAATCAGAACGATGATGAATGATTGATTATACTGAGTTTTCTTACGGATCTTTTCACCTTTCAGATTCAGAAATTTCGATAGCTCCAAAGCTCAGAAAGAGTAATCAGCACAAGACGGAAGAAATTTGTGGTTCCTCACCTACTTATTGTGTTCAAGGTTTATTAAAGTTACGAAACTACCCTTTGAATTGTGCTTAGGGTTCGGATTGTCAATAGAAGGACCAAGGGTAGTTTTGGTCAAGTTGGGCTTTGACTTTGAAAAAATCGAATTGGGCTTTGTGTAAATCAAATTAGAATTTGTTTTCCTTTTTTGACGAGATCTTATTTTGGTCTACGTTTGTACTTTCAAAACACTGACGTGTGGTCACAGTGTGCTGTTTTGACGAAGAAAAAAAAACACATATTGTGTGATCATACTAACAATGTTTAGCAGAAAGAAAGAAAGAAATCTTAAAATGAAGAATCATACTTTTTGTCAGTAAAACATACCAATTTAACCGTATTTTTCATTATTTTGGCAAATATATTTTGGAAATTTAATTCCATTTAATCTTGTTTTAAAATATTGAGTTTCTTTTTGGGGACTTAGAGAGGTTATTTGGGTTCATGATTTCACATGCTCAAAATGTTGTCTTATTGTCTAGCTTTTGGCTTATAGCTCTCATAGAACCTTTGTTGATCTATCTTATCTATCTTGTTGTGGCATTGGCCATTGGGGAATGTCCCTCTTTATGTTGTTCTAAACTTTGGGTTCTTTGAATCCTTCTTGTACTTAGTTTTGATTTGAATGAATGAAAACTAGTATTTGCTCAAAAAAAGAAAAAGAAAAAAAAAAGAGAGAGGTTATTTGGGACATGGATTTAAATAAAATTGAGAGACTTTACTAAAAAAAAAAATTTAGAGCATAGTTTAGTTGAATTTTTTTTTTTATCTAATTAATAATCCAAAACGACTTTATTGTGTATACAATTACAATTCCTATAACTTAATAAACTTTTTTTTATTATTTCCTCAATTTTTAGCTAATTTGACGCTACACAAAAAGTAAACCTACTAACAGCAATCTTTAACTCGAATATTTACTCGGCATGAAGTTCATACAGATCGGAGGTTTAACTCCGGCCAAAGCAAGAACCGACGACGGCAAAATCCATAGACCATCTCCACATATCAAACCGGAAGCAACCGCTGGTACCATTAAACCGGCTTTAACCCGATCTCTCATATTCCACGCAAAGACAATCAAACTCCCAACACACATATCAATAGCAAAGTACCCTCCGACAAGAAACGGAACCGCCATTGCCATCGGTAATGGAACCCACTTCCCTATCTTCTCCGGCGACCAATCCCTAACGAGATTCGCTACCACCGCGAATGCGAAAAACCCGTAACAAAGCTGGAGACAATGTTGAGGCAAAGCAGAGAAACCCTCAACTCCAAGAATAGCCATGTTTCTGTATACCAAAGCGTAAGGAGCTTTATACTCTCCCGCCTGGTTTCCGACATCGAAAGCTTTATAAAACAAGAAGAAAGTGAGAGGAGCCACCACACATCCAATCGCTGTACCGATTGCTTGGCTCACAAGCATCGACCTTGGTGAAGTCAGAGTCAAATGTCCTGTCTTGAAATCGTGCATTAGGTCAGAAGAAATCGAGACAATCGATTTTATCAACCCGCATCCGACAAGTCCCGCGACTACACCGTTTTCTTTCCCTGCCATAGCGGCTAAGATGAACAGAGCAACTTTACCATAGTTATAAGCCATGTTCATGTCTGTAAGTCCTGCTCCATAAGCGTTGCTGAAACCTAACGATGGAGCTAACATGTAAGCTACGACTATGAAGTACCATTTGAGCTCGGGGAACATTATAGGGATTGCGATTATCGAGACAACAGAGAACGCTGCGTATCCGACTGCTGCAACCCATAATGGAATGCTGTCTCTTACAAAGATCTCATCTCTTTTAAGATCTGCAATAGATTGCTTATCTTTCTCCGAATCTGCGATTTACGTTTGAATATCAGATACATTATAAAAATGACGATTTCGATAGTTTTTTTTGGTGTATACTTACTAGATTTCCCGGTGTGTCGATCCTTTAACTTTGCGTACATGTTTATTCCTGTGATAACAAGTATCTTGATGAATTGGTAAAGCCCGTCTCCGAGGATCAATGAGATTGATATAAACACCTGCAGATTTATGAACAAATTGAGAACGAAATTGCGCGAAAGAAAGAGCGAGTTTATTGTAGAGTACTAGTTTTTAGGTATGGAACCTTGTAACCATTGAGACTCTTCATGCTATTTTCAGAAAGAGTTGATGGGAACCAATCTCCTTTAAGACCTTTAATTAGTGGCCACATGATTCCCCAAGACAGAACCGCGCCGAAAAGCAAAGATAAGTTGACAATGTGGGGACAGATCATTCCTGCTCCAATGTATGTCATGCTAAAGTCGAAGTAGAACCTGTCAAGTTTTCCAAGATCATCAAGATTTTGTTGATAAATATACAATAAATGGAACGAAGAATAATATACTCACGAGTTCAACCGAGCTTTTAATCCGAAAGTTGGAAACTGAATGAATCCGCACTCTGTACCACCAGAGAAGAACCATTGGAAGAAAGCCCAAATGAAGCTAAATGAGAAGTACTTCACAAACCCAAACACTTGTTTCCTGCATACAAATAGTTTCATTCAATTCAAAAACTCTAGAAGCAGCGGCTAAAGAGAGCTAAGAGACTGCGAAAAAATCGAGTTAATACTTGGCCATTTTATTGCCTTTAGGAGTGTGGAAACCGTTGATCAAAACCGCGGTAGCTGTTCCACTTGGATATGTCAGCTTGTAGTCTATGATCATGATCTGGTTAACAAAAATAAAAGCATAATGAAAAATTAGCAATCTAGACCCAAATTAACCAGGTACAAATAGAGATGTTGTGACAGACCAAACCAGCCAACCCGCGCTTAATAGTCCAGTTTCGTCCCATATTAAGCCCGGTAGTAAGTCTTCTCTGGCGGGTTTGGCCCGGCCCATAGCACACTTATATGGACCGGACTGACCCGCAAACTTTGGCCTACCACAACATCTCTAATTACAAATTCAATGAAACATGGAGCTTACAATCTCTACCTTTCTTAGAGGAACCAATGCTAAAAGACCAACAAAGCAAGTAAAGAACAAGAAACCGGTCATCCAACCGATTCCAGGCTCTTTCGTGCTTCCTGGATAATTCCCATCAGTCTGAGTTCCTCCTGCCTGTATATAAGTATTTCTGTTCAAACCAAGAAGGTATGAACCAAAGCCACCTGCAAGTCAAACAAACACAAAGCTCAAACAATCGATCCAACCTAAAAACAAAACATCATCAAAACAAACGGTCAAAATTCACCAAACCTCCAACTGAAATGCTGTAACAAGCAACAGCACATGTTTGGACAACAGTGTTCTCTTGTTTAGTAAACGGTTTAGTCACAATCCCAGCTTTGGTCAACAGCTTAGTCCAGCTTCTAAGGAAGACAAAGGCTAAAAGAGCTGCAGAGACATTTAGGTTTGGGACCAAACCTGTTGTTAGGTTAAGTTTCATCACAATCACACTGTAGATTATACCAATGATCAAACTTGCAACAATTCCTCTGACAGTAATTTGACTCTTCCATGGAGGTATTGACTTGAATTCATCTGCTTCGTTTTGCGTCTCTTCCAAGTCATCTATTACTTCTCTCTCTATCTCATTCCTTCCCTCTCTCTCCATCATCACGCTCCTCATTTTTTCCAGAACAAAAAAAAAACAGAGTTTCTTCTTCTTGATTTTTTTTTTTGCCAATACTGGAAAAACAAAAACCCAAAAGACAGATTCTTATAATAATTAATAATTTAATATCAATCAAAATCTCACTTTTTTGGAAAATGACGAGAGAAAAAAAAAAGGGTACCTCTTTTTGGATCAATCCGATTCTGGGAATTTTATATAAAGTTTAGAATTTTTTCTTGCTTTCCACGCCCAAGCTTAATTATCTGAAGAAGAAGAATAAACAGTTACTTAGCAAAAAGCAAAACTATAGATTATTTTAATCTATTGCATAATCTTTAAACCATAGAATCAAATCAAATGACGCAAATTATCTCTTTTGCTTAGAGATCTAATAAAAATTAAGTATACTCAAGAATCTGCCATTAATCTAAAACAATAACAAAAAGATGAGTTTTTGGTTCAAACCCTTTTTTTTCTTTCTGAAATCTGTAAGACGTTAGACGTAAGAAAACAAGAGAATGAAGCGTAACTGGTTAATGAAACAGGCACACACACAGAAAGACCACACTCCCACTTCCCAAAGAGATAAAAGAAAAAAACATTGAATGCTTACACGAAACGAAGACCAAAGAATAGCCAAAAATGGTAGTTGATTAAAGAAATTGGACTTTGGTGAGACTATTCAAAGTTATATAGAGAAGTAGAGATGAAGAAGAAAAGCTTAAAACCAAGAAGATTTTATTTAAGGGATCTTGGGTTCTTCTTATGTACCGCACGTTGACATTAGTACTACACAAAAGATAAAAGGAAAAAGAAAAAGAATTTTGGGGTTTATGTAGTACAATAATCATTAAGGGGTTAAACTTTATAAAAGTTTATGTCATCAAAAAGTAAACAAAAATATGGAGGGTAATAATTAATTATTAGTTAATCTAATCCACATATTAAACCTTCATATATGTCATTAAGAAAGTGATAGAAATCACATACGAAAAATCAAATTTTATAAGTTTTTCAAACACATGACTTGACTATTCAACGATTAGATTATGTGGTATTGTATGTAGTAGAAGGACAAAATTTTATGTATCTCGCATAAGTAAATAAAAATTAGGAGTTTAGATGATGAAATAAAATTAGGAGTAAAATAGTTAGAAAAATTACACTTGAAATGATTTTTTTATTAACTTAGATTTTCTTTTGGTCATACTTAGATATAAATTATGAATGTATTTCTATTTCAAAATAAAAAAATTTCATTAAGTAAATCAATTCACCAAAATATATTGTTTTTTTTAAATTTAGAGATTTTTAACATATTAATTAAGCTATAACTACAATATCTATAAGTCTTTTAAAATCATAAAATATGATACATAATTAACCTTTTTCTTAATAATAAATTACATGTTTAACTTAATGAATCTGGTGGCATTCATGTGAAACTGAAAAGTTGTGATTACATTTTTTCTCTTTATTTGTCTGATAAAGCTGGATTTATTTGGGTAAACCGAGATTCCGGTTCATATGACTGTCGTTTACTAAACAAGATGATGACCTTATGGACAATCTCATGCCATAACTATCTTCTTTTATTTTCTTGATTACATGATTAATTATTATAATCAAAATATGGAAACATAACTCTCTATAATTACAGTTAGAGTACAATTTATTTAATTCCTTTAGGTAGTCAAGCAAGAAATTGGTTAATGTCAACTGCACATACAATGTGGTCACAAACATACCAAATTAAAGTCGAATGAATATAACAAGTTAGACTTTTGATTCTTTACGTCTACACGTCAAAATTCATAAGTAGAATTGGACTATTATATTCGGACGTTTCTTGGCTGAATTTGGTGCGTTCGATATTAGACCAATCCTGCATACCAATTAAACCATTTTTTTTCCCAAGAACATATGACTGAATTTACATTTTTGGAAGATTTGTTTTAGATTGAATTTTATAAGATCGTTCCCAACTGATTCAATTTGTCATAAAAATCTTAAATTTAATGTATTGGTTGAGTAATCTATAACAGCCGTTGGTTAAAATATTTAGGTTCACATTGTAGTATTTAATGTAGTGTTGACTAGAGTTGGGTAGTTTAGTACCACTAGCTAGTTATGAAGTGAACGTGTGAATAAATATATAAAGGGAATTATAGGTTACTTATTTTCTGTGTATTTTAGTATTAATCTTCATTTGTTGTCAACAAATTAAGCGTTATCAAATTCGAACCAAAATTGTAACACGGAATCGGAGATTGTGTGAAATCAAACCATTAGAAAATAACTTTCGGATGTCTTGTATGCATATACATGATCGAATCTTAATTATTGTGTGTCCTCGTATGCTAAGGAGGAGATATTACGCGAGGCACTACGGAGAAGAAAAAGAGAATAATTCAACTCTCTTTTGTACGAACTATACTTTTCTTTTCCTATTTTAAAGAAATTTATATAATTCACTTATCTCACGTACTTTATTTTTGGGAATAAAAGTTAACTTTATACTACTCCACATGAAAAAGGGTTTTGAAGAAGAAATTGGAGTTTGGTGAATACAACATGTGATGATCAAATTTATTAAGGGAAATTCGTTTAACGCGTTAGGTGGAATTATATAAAAGGTCAATCATTTGCAATTGGAAGTGATGAAAGGGTTAGGCACTCTGCCTTATTTCACGTAATTGTTATGGTATTTCTTTACAAATTATATACAATTAAAATTCTGAATAGTATGAGTGAAATCTTGTAGATAGTTTCTTATATACCATATTTGTATATACAAAATTTGAAGAATACGTATGAATAAATAAGAACGAATGTGATTTTAGGAAGAGACAAACTATTTGATTGCTTGATGATGAAAAATAAATATATGAATAAATGTTTTTTTTTTCTTTTCCATGCATTGCTTTCTTTTTTTTTTCATCTTTCCATGCATTGCTCTGAATAATCATTCTGACTTTTTCACAACATTTATGAGTTACTGCATCTGAGAATTATCTATTTTTAACTTTAGATTCGACATGGTATTAAGTATGAGAAAGCAAGATCAACCATATGATTTATCTATTTAAGTTTTCTTGAGTTGGTTAAACCATTTTTACTAATTATATCCTAAGCTTCTCATCTTGACCAGGGGCGGAGGGAGAGAAGATTCATAGGGGTCAATTGACCCCGGTGAAATTATTAAAAATAGTTGATTTTTTATATAAAAAAAATTATTGACCCCAATCCAATAAAAATATTGACCCCTATAAAAAAAATTTATGTTACAAACACAATAATTACACTGTACTTATAGATAATATTAGCCTAATAAAATTTATTTTAAGTAAATCTACTACAATTAAACCTATTAATATGAACTAATATAATATTTTAACATTATTTTGAGCTGATCTAAAAACATTTTACCTTCTTCTTCTTTTTTTTTTGTGTGTTTTAATCAATCTTTGATCGTGTGACGGTGGAAACAAGAAAACATCTTTCACATCTTTTAGTATATCGACTTATAAAGCTACTTTTTATGCATCTTTTAGAAAGAAAAAAAAATTTTGACCCCGATGAATAGATTTTCTGGCTCCGCCACTGATCTTGACCATGCCTATCTTCATAGCTAGACCACGATGGATCACTTTCTAATGATTGAAATTATGATCTTACCCATCTTTAGTTCATGTATCATCAATTGACTCTTTGAAGTCTACCCAATTTTTGTCTTCGTCTCTCGGGGATATTGGACCTACACATTTAACTTATAGCTCACTTTATGCCAAACGATACGCACCAAGCAAAAGAGGATTTGGTATAAAATAGCACTTTCAGTTATTTTCATACGATACTACTTTTTTACACACCAATTATAGAAGAAAACATTTGATTTTCATCTATCGTGTATATATTGGTATTATCATTGTAAGAGGTTTGAATTTAACATATAGTGAATAATGTAAGAAAGTATGGACCACTATTCTAATTATTTTTCAATTTTCACTGTAGAATAATATTTATTTATTTAGCTTCAACGAATTTACAAAATATATACAACTTGCTTGGTTTATTTATTCATATCTTATCACAAAGTACTTTTGTCATTCATTATCCATACCATACATGTTCCAGACTCCCAATTCCGTCCATGTCCTTATTTTAGCAGCCATCATTGCCTTAATTTATATCAATTTATTTTTTAAAAGTAACTAAAAACTAAAAGTAAAAAAAAATTTCCTAGACCATTTTTCGTTGATATAATATTCATTCATGTTTGGCGTCAAGATATGTGTAACTCAAGAGATTCCACTGCCAAACAAAAAAAGTTTTATTTATTTATTAGTATTATTATTTGATAATGGGAGGCCAAACTAAAAAAGTTGTAAGATATTATATGGTTAGGTCTAAATTTTTTTTAAATTCATCGATCAATCCATTTCTCAGTTCTTAGACGTCATACAGTTGTCTCTCGTCAACATTCTTAATATTCTAGTGGATAGTAATGCATTCTCAACTATGTGTTTGGTTTTGGGATAAAGCATAAAAAATAAAAATGGAATATTAGAACCCAAACATAAAGTGACAAATGACAAGTGGAAGGCTAAGAATTTGGTGCCTCTTTTTTTTTTTTTTTTTCAAAAATTTAGCGTTTCGAATGGTAAACAAATAAACGATGGCCAATGCAAAATTAAACATATCTTTTATTTTGTTGTTGTTGTGACTTAATATTGTGAAACGCATGACCAAGATCTTTATGTTTTTTTGTTTGTTTGGTGAATAAATGATAGAGCATGGTTGATGCGGTTGAAACGCAATTTTGAAGTCATGTGTATGTATTGTTCACAACCCTGAGTCCTTGATTGTTTGCTGATCTCACGTGGTCTTTTAGATCTGCGTTTGTCTAACGCACCCTTTCTCGGAAAAGCCACGTGCATTTTGATTCCCAAACCAAAACCACTTTCTGATCATCATTAATCGTGCTTTTAGTATTCGATATATAAATCCATTTGGTAAGTTTAAAAGATAACACTCGATGTGTAAAGAAAAAGAAGAAATAAAAATATCAAATGGATTAAAACAATTTAAATACCAAAAGGGCTGCTTCTTGTGTAGTGCAAGTTTTTTCTTTCTTTCTTGGTGGTCTATTGTTATTGAAATACAAATACAATAAAAGTCATCGAGTCGATTGACAAAAACAAAAAAAGATTGACGAAAAAATTGTGTAACTCAAAAAGATTGACGAAAAAAGTTTATATCCAAAGTCCAAATGAAACATTTAAAACCAATAAAATCAAGAAAGTTGTTTAAACTAGTTTCATTTGAACTTTGGAGATATCGTCACTATGAGGATGATTTTCCACAATACATTAATTTACGTTTCGGGTTCGGTTCGGATATATTAATTTAATTTGAAGTTGATGCGTAGATTAGATGCATGCTAAGGTCAACAATGCTCTTACATATAACATTAATGACTCTCCTACTTCCATTATACGGAAAAGAGTGCACGGGAAATGAAGCAAGGAAACGTGTAAGGATAATTTGATAAAGACTTTTTTTTTTTTTGATATACCCGATCGGTGATACGGTCAGCTCCGGGAGAACGCACTGAAGTGCTACCATGTGGATTCATCGTCAACACCTAGGTGTTGGACTACCACACTGCCTAACCCCGAGTTTGGAATACTATCCGACTAATGTTCGGAGGTATCCAGTTAGCCTAATCCCGGATACCATGTGAATTGTTTGGGCCAAAATAAAACCCAAGTACGGCAGGCTCAGATCCTGTTCCTATTGGCGACACCGGGGGAAGACCATCCGGAGCAAGGACCTTCCGTGGAAAATTCAGACTTTCTTTTTGATGCTGCGATTACATAAAAACATAACCTTTGAGGCCAGACTTTTCACACAAATGTGATTTTTGTTTCCAGGGTGAATCGAACCTGGGTTAGTTCCTTCCAACATTTCCCCAATTCTCTTATGCATTGGAATAGTTGTAGGGCTTGCATCTATCTTGAAAAAATAATATCTCTATGTTTCAAATTATTATATGTCGTTTAAAACTTTTTCACACATATAAAGAATTGAATTTTCATTTATAATATATTGTCTCATTTTTTCATTATTTAATACATTAAAACAATATAAATAAAATTAGAAGTTATATTTAAAATCTGCATTCCAATTTTATCTAAAATCTGCATTCTAATTTATCTAAAATCTGCATTAAAAATAAAACGATAGTTAATCTAAAACAAAATTTAAGATCTACAACAATATTGAGCAAAAAAAAATCTAATCCCAAACGGAGGAAGCAGTAAACAATAGAAATGAAGAAAATAATATATAAACTATATTCTTACAATCATAATTTTAATCTAAATGTTTAAATTAATAATACAGAAAAAACATCTCACAAAATCTAAAGTGTTAAAAAAAAAAACATCTCACAAAATCTTAATACGGAAATCGGGCTTTCGAAGGGCTTTAAATTTCAGACCCATTTGGTGAAACACCAAACAACGCCCATTAAGCCAGTTTTGATGAAAATTACCAACATGCACAAAACTATAAACGATATTATGAAAATGCCACCAAGGGCTGTTCTTTTCCTGTAATTCCAGTTAAGAGCTTTCTTCTTCCTTTCCCTATCCTCAAACCCACACGCTCCCTCAAGAATTAGGGTTTCTTTTCTTTTTGAATCTTATCTAATTCCCAAATCCAAAGATATGAAGAGATCTTCAGGTAAAAAGGATTCAAATTTCATAGAGCAATTGATACTTTACGTCGCTAGTGCTGCATTGAGTAGCTTGGTTCTCTACGTTGGTCTTAGAGCAATTGACCCGAACCGTGACGCAGCTAAAAAGTCTCTCGAGCATAAAAGAGAAATCGCCAAACGTTTAGGTCGTCCTCTTATTCAAACCAATCAATACGAGGTAATTTTGATAATTGAATTCGTTTTCAAAATTCGTTCTTTTCGAGTTCTAATTGTTTATTGTGAAAACAGGATGTGATTGCGTGTGATGTAATAAACCCATTACACATTGATGTTGAGTTTGGTTCTATTGGAGGGTTAGAGTCAATTAAGCAAGCTTTGTATGAGTTAGTGATTCTACCATTGAAAAGGCCTGAGCTTTTTGCTTATGGGAAGTTACTTGGTCCTCAAAAGGGTGTTTTGTTGTATGGTCCTCCTGGTACTGGGAAGACTATGCTTGCTAAAGCGATTGCGAGAGAGTCGGAAGCTGTTTTTATTAATGTGAAGGTTTCTAATTTGATGAGCAAGTGGTTTGGTGATGCACAGAAGCTTGGTATGTGTTAGATTTTATGATTTAGAAGGAGGTTACATTTACCTGTGTTACTGATTTATGAGTTGTTTGTTTTCTTTAGTGTCTGCTGTGTTTAGCTTGGCGTATAAACTCCAACCTGCTATTATTTTTATCGATGAGGTGGATAGTTTTCTTGGCCAGCGACGTTCGACTGATAATGAAGCAATGTCGAATATGAAGACCGAGTTTATGGCTTTATGGGATGGATTTACTACAGATCGTGAGTTGGAAATTCTTGTCCTCATTGTCTTATTTAACCTTGTAAACTAGGTGCAATCTGAGGTTTGATGTTTTTGGTTTATAGAGAATGCGAGGGTGATGGTTCTTGCAGCAACTAACAGACCTTCGGAGCTCGATGAAGCAATATTGAGGCGTTTTCCTCAGTCATTTGAGATCGGGATGCCTGATTGCCGGGAGAGAGCTCAAATATTGAAAGTGGTTTTGAAAGGAGAGAGGGTTGAACCAGATATTAACTTTGATCATATAGCTCGTTTATGTGAAGACTATACTGGATCAGATATTTTTGAACTCTGCAAAAAAGCAGCTTACTTCCCAATCCGAGAAATCCTAGAGGCGGAGAAAAAGGGCAAACAAATTTCTGTAAGTAATAAACCGTTTTTAGGAATGCCAATGTTTCCTTCTTCCACCCGATTTTTTGAGTACTGACATCTTCGACTTGCCTACGTTTTACAGGTGCCTAGACCATTGTCACAACTAGACTTGGAGAAGGTTCTTGCTACCTCAAAGAAGACACAAGTTGCTGCAAGCGAGTACACTGGTTTAAGCTCGCAATCTTCACTCTGGAGAAGTCCAAGCAATGCCGACGAGGTCCAAGCAGCTATAAACGGCATCTCAAAGCTTTTTGTCTCCCGGCTTAGAAACATTCAGCCAGACTCTCAGGATTCATATCAACATGATTCAGAAGGAGATTCGGAATAGAAGCAAACTCTTCACTAGAGCTTTGTATAGTCCAAAAAGAGTATTACCAAAAAGAATATAAACTTTTGTAAACCTCATATGTCTCTGCATAAGTTGGTGCATTTCCTAAGGAGCATTGTTGCCTTAAGACATGTTTAGGAAATTAATTCATTTCTTGTTCAAGCAATGATCTATATACATTTACCAATTTGGTTTTCTTCAAATTTTGGATTAAAATGTCAGCTTTTTTTTGTCTTCATGTAAAAATGGCATCTTTAGGAGTGTTTATGTCAATGGTATTATCTGGGCTTTGATCGTTTACAATATAAATGGGCTTTGTGTAGTCAACTTGATTGAGACAAAAAAGGAGACTTTTTTTTGTTTCCGTGACTCTGTAGATCGTCTCGAACCCAACTGTCAGAATCTTCGTCGATTTGATCGATTCTTCTTCGTCTCTCTCCGATTGCAATAAACCCTTGATTTCACCACAGAAAGGTACACAATTTCTCCAGTTGTTCAATCGAATCTAACTCTGTGGATTTGGTCTCGCGGCTAACTCGATCAAGTCTGCTTCTCTCATCGTTGTATCATTACTGTGATTTGGTCTTCTCTGGTGTTTGTTGATTACTATTTCATGAATTGAGATTAGGGTTTTATTTATGTTTCTCTGTGATCATAACTGAATCATGAGTTCCGAATTTGAATCAGCTCTAGCTTAAAAATCAAACCTTTTTGGTGTTTCAAGTTAAAAATGCCGCTAATTTTGTCTCATTTGTTGGATTCTTATGCTCTGAACAGGTTTTTGTTATCGGGAATCGAATCTTCTGATCATGGTAAGTGTTGTTTTCGACAAAATTTCTCGTCTTTGCTTAGTGTCGTTGTTTCTGTAATTGTTACTAAAGTTTATACCTTCACAGAATTATCTTCTTGGAGCTTTCAAGCCGGCATGTAATATTTCAATCACATTCACTGATGGGAAAAACCGTAAACAGGTACACATCGCTCTTTACGTTTATCTATTTTGCTTCTTCTACGGATTTATTGTTCCTGGACTTAGGTTATAGGTTTTCTTATTGTATCTACTTTGGTCTCTGTTGCGGTAGGTACCCATTAAGAAAGATAATGGACAAATAGTTATGAATCCACTTTTCCAGAGTCAAGAAACTATTGCTGGGAAGGTACTTTGGTTTTGTTGTTATCTCTAGTCATCAGGAGGTTTATGGAATTGGTTAATAGAAGTGTTTTTTTTCTTTCATAACTTGTCTCGCTCAGATTAACATTGAACCATATCAAGGGAAAAAGGTGGAGCACAATGGTGTAAAAGTTGAGCTTCTTGGTCAAATAGGTGTGCAAATGCTGTGAATTATGTCGATTTTGTAATCTGGTTTCTATCTCATGTATTTATACGCTTATCGATGACATTTGTGTTTCTTTTTTACAGAAATGTACTTTGACAGAGGAAACTTTTATGACTTCACTTCCTTGGGTGAGTCAAAACTTAGGGTTCCATTTTGACATGGCTGTGTTGTTTTCTTCAGTTGTCACTGATTGATCCGACTATCTTTCTGGTTTCTATATCTAATTTATAGTGCGTGAGATTGATGTACCTGGAGAAATATATGAAAGAAAGACATACCCTTTTGAATTTTCGAGCGTTGAGATGCCATATGAGACATACAATGGCGTGAATGTGCGCCTAAGGTATGATCATATTATTCTTTGACATCAGATTGAAGCAATATTGTAAGTTCCTAATTTCTGTTTCTGTTTTCTTCAGGTATGTCCTCAAAGTAACAGTTACACGAGGCTATGCTGGAAGCATCGTGGAATACCAGGACTTTGTGGTAGTTTTCTTCACTTATTCGCATATCTTTCTGATACAATAGTATTTAAGATAAGCTTAGCTTTTTTAATTGGTTTGGAACAGGTCCGTAACTATGTTCCGCCTCCTCCAATCAATAACAGCATTAAGGTGAGTTCTGATATGATTCAAGTTTTTCGTTTTAGAAAAAAGATTCTTGGTTATTTAGTAGAACCCAAACTCTCCCATTGTTCACTCAGTTTACTGATTCCTTACCGCTCTTGGTTTTGATAGTCAATGACCTTTTAGTATTCCATTTCCTTATTAGCTTTAGATATGCATATGCTTAATTCCATTGGACCCTTACCCATTGTACAGATGGAAGTTGGAATCGAGGACTGCTTGCATATCGAGTTTGAGTACAATAAAAGCAAGTAAGATAGAATTGATTTTCATAATTTAGGGATCGAGCTATGAGGAAACTTTAAAACAACAGCTAATTCTGTATGCTCTGGATGCAGGTATCACCTAAAAGATGTTATCCTTGGGAAAATATACTTCCTTCTGGTGAGAATCAAGATAAAGAATATGGATCTTGAAATCAGACGGCGAGAATCAACTGGAGCAGGAGCTAATACTCACGTCGAGACAGAAACACTAGCCAAATTTGAGTTAATGGATGGTGCTCCAGTTAGAGGTATATTCAGCATATGTTATAAAACTCATTCGGACCTATTGCTAGTTTTGTAACCAAGTATTGAGACCATTGTTGCAGGCGAATCGATACCTGTAAGAGTGTTCTTGACACCATACGATCTGACACCAACGCATAAGAACATAAACAACAAATTCAGCGTAAAGTATTATCTAAATCTTGTACTGGTGGATGAAGAGGATCGCCGTTACTTCAAGCAGCAAGAAATCACCTTGTACAGGCTCAAGGAAGAGACATCCTGATGTTTACAAAACAAAAGAGAAGAGAGAAATGATTTTTCAGAACTTTGTAAAGCCTTTTCAAGACTTTCTGTATGCAAATTGGTTGGAACTTGTAGTGATGTAGTTGAATCATATTTTGTAGTTTGTTCATCGACCCAAATGTTGTTTGCTTTGTTTGGATTCTTGTGACTTCCATTGTCTTCTTATAAATGTACTTTTTGTTGTCTTATGTTACTGAAGAAGCAGCTTTATTTATAGAAACAGATTACCAACGTTGTAATGGAAAATGTGTTAAAGGAATACAGGAGAATCTTGGTTTTAGAAAACAGGACAACCATGAACAACAACACCTTTAGCAGTTGGACATTTAGCAACAGCACAACCTTCACCAGAATTTCCCCACCAATCAATCGCAATCTCGCTACGCTGCAACATCAGAAACAGAAGCACAGACATAAATCCAGTTCCTGCATCCATTCCACCTGAAAGAACATAGTTATATCTCTGCCACCATTCTCTTCTATACTTAAACACGAAATGCCCAAACACAAACGCCATAACGAGCCAGCTCGTGAAGTTAACCGCAGAAGCTGGTGGCATTATAGCTGTGGCTCCAACCAGAACAGGGATGTGAATGTTTGAGATCCATTTCTTGTTTGGGAAGAGTCTTGTGGCTAAGTAGACCAATGCTGGAGCTATTGCACCTCCTACGAAGAACCAGTTTATGTTTGAGTATTCTCCAAGATCACCAAACATTCTTCTTGGTCCTACAAGTCCCCAGATCACTGATGCGTCAAAGAAGACTCGGTCCGATGGACAAGTCCACTGACTTCCCGGTGGAAGCAGAGAAGTGTCGCAGAGATTTGGGATTTCAGCCATTAGCCACCAAGCTGTGACTGCGTAAACGATGACTGCTACTAAAGTTCCCACAACCTGTGAAAGCATGAGCAACAAGATTGAAGGTAAACGATCAGGGTTAGCCCGGCCCGGCTAGTAAGAAGACAAGATTGTATGTGGAAAATATAAAGACATGCCTGTGCCATAAACATGGTTCTTGGTGGGATCTTCATGTAAGTTCCAAGCTTCAAATCAGAGAGGAAAGTCAAAGATTGAGACATGCTGATGTATCCATAAGTCTTGAAGCATATGTTAGCAACTGGTCTCTCTGGATATGCATATCCAATTATGTATTCCGTTATAATGTTCAGACCCGGAGCCTACAAAACAAAAACAGAAACACGGTTTAATGATCATGACCGGTTTTTGAAACCAAGTTATAAGCATGTGAGTCTCTCTTCTAACCTGGTTAGTAGTGGCCATGATCACACCAACGAGAGGAGTGAAGAAGATAGCTATCAAACAAGCCAAGAAAGCCCCCCACCATGGAAGCTGAATCTGTGTCTTATAGTAAATACATATGAAGACAATAACTGCAAGATTCACGGCGAAAATCGAAAGAAACCACCAGAGAGGAACTTCTTTGTAATTCCTCTTCATGATCTTTGTATGTATATCCATTTTCTTGTTTTTTTGAAACGCTCCTTTGGTTTGAGTCCAAAGATCTTTGCCGTTGAAAAGCAGGACATGGACAATACTAGCAGACAAGGTCGCAAAACCGAGTCCATAAGTCACGGCAAAGAAAGTGCTCATGTGGACTGGTCCGGTCTCTGCGTAAGCCTTACGATCGAGGCGGAAATTGGCATCGATGATGCTTGTTACATTGTATTCCTTCCCACTGGCTACAAAGAGTTTACCGGAGTAGATTGGGAAGGTTTTGGCGTTGTAGAAATCTAGATAGTAACAGAGAGGTGTGATTACGTACATCACAAGAAAGAACCCGACCGCAATATTTGCTGAAGCAAAGAATGGGCTAGCGAGTGGGCTTCCAAGATATGACGCGATGGTTGACCAGTCCAGACCAAAGGAACCAATACCTAGACCAGCTGACCCTGAACCAAGCTGGTTAACTAGAATCGATTTAGGGCTAATCCAACATAACCAAGAGACGGTGGTTAAGACCGTGAAGAGATAACCAGGTAGGAGATAATAGGAGAAGCTAGTGATGAGCGTGATGACAAAGAACTGATTTCGACTAATTCCCCATTTTGATTTGTTCTCTTTCTCGTGCAATGCTCTGTGTATAATCAAAATCACATATTATATTTTTAGAAATGCTTGATCAAAAACATAAGAGAATCATTAGAAAGTACCTGAAGAGAGACACTTGAACAAGATTGCTTGGCCACCACATTTCACCAGGCTCAACTAAATGTTTCCTATACAAACCAGCCCAACCAAACCCCAATACCTTGCAGCACAAGAAACAAGAAAAAAAAAACTCTCAGTCCACATAACCCTAAACCTAGAAACTCTATACCAATAAACACGAAATCAATATTTACCTGAGTGGTGATCATAACGAGCAAAGCAGGTAAGAAATCAAGCCTTCTCTTGTAATAAAGCTTAACAGCACTAAGAATATGACTAGCGTAAACAGACCCAGAGCCTGAGTTTGCAAACACAGTTATAAGAACATGTTCTTTGGTACTAAACGGACCAGGATTCATCGTGAAAGACCACCTCGTTCCTTCAAAGAATCTCCTTGTGGGAAGAACCCTAGCCATGAGATGACCAATGGGAACAACAGCAATCTGAGCCGAAACAGAGGAGATGGACAAAGGATTGGTTCTGTACCAGAAAAACTGGTTGAGAAATGACAAAAGAACACAAGCGCTAATGCCAAGAACCCACATCCTAAATGTAACCGTCGGTGAAGTTGGATCGTCGGTTTTGGGCACCGTTAGTTCCACTTGTGGAACTACACTTATCTCATCGCCACCGTAAGAAACCGACTCCCACTCCGGATCCGATCTTGTCTCTGTAAAGTCTTTCATTGGTCTTCAAAAACAGAGGATTAATGTTCTGTTTTTGTCCCTATGATATGCATAAAATAAACGGATTGTTATGTGTTAGTGAGATCGTGTTTATGTAACCGTTCTTAAGATTTGCAATTAAAATATGAAAATAAACAGAGGAAATAACAAAAAAATATACTCACAGACAGAAGTGTTTGCTTCCTTCGGTTGTGTGTTTTGAGATTTGAGATTCTGAATGATAAGATAGAATTTTATTTGATTTGGGTGAAGAAATATAGTAGAGTATTTCAATGGATCTTTTCTTTGTTAATTTTGGTATCATATCTGTATTCATATTTTTTATGGAAGGAAGTATACTACGGATACACAACAAAATAAGACATTTTTGTTTGTTGTAGATTACCATTGACTGTAAAATTAATATTAAGGAAACATATTTTCTGATGTTTTGGTTAAGAAATCATCAGCTTTATTTGTTGCAAAATGCAAATGATGAACGTCCTTTATATTAAAAAAAATGATGAATTAAGCTGCAAATAAAACTACATAGGTCTATTCAGTTTCGTAAATTTGTGCTAATCCCATTTTACGTTTACATAGTGTTTTAATGTTTTCTGTTTTCAATATTGGTAAGCGAATCTTTAAAATTTGATTCAAGGACTCATAAAGACGAGGACCGAGGAGTCAAGAAAATAACCGTAATCGACTCGAACAATTGAACTCGTTCAAACCGAAACCAGATTGAAATTTGTTCTCAAACTTAACCAAACAAAAAGAAACATAAACCAACCTTACTGTAACCGAAACAAACCGAATCAAATAAACCAAAATTTATTAAACTTTAATGTTTTTAATATATATATATATATATATATATAGCTTATAACATATATAATCAATATTTAAGAAATATAACCTTAAATCTTATAATTTAAATATTTCTTGATGTGTATTTTAAATATACTATCAACCAAATTCAAAAAATTGTAACAAAAAAAGAGCAAACTACATATGGTTAATTAGGTTTTATTTTTTTAACTAATAAAACATAAAATATAATTAAAAACCGAATTAGAACCTTACGTAAACTGGATTGTCCACTTTTTGGAAAGACTTATACCATATGTTGAGGTGAAAAGTATTCTATCATTGTGAAGGAGAAATCTAAGAAGTACAGTACTGAATTTTGAACGAGAGTTTGAACACTTAATAGAGTGTTTCACATGTTGGCTTAGAAAAAGAACTAAGGTTTTCCTTTTGCCCAGAACAATTTTTTTTTTCTTTCTTTCTTTTGGCTACTTTGGAAAAGATTATCGTCTCTTTGACTTTTGCAATTGCCGACTCCAAATGTGATAGTTTAACAATTCAATCAAAAATGATTTTGGTTGTTAATATCCAAATTCGGATTATAAATAAACCAAATGGATTGAACCAAAATTTATTACAATTTTACGTGTGTAACTTGGACTAAACCGACTACAATCCGAACTAATATAAACACAAGTGACCAAAATAAAAAATAAATAATTATCAAATGTATTTCTTGTCCGAAAAAGCTTTGCTGTCACAAGTGTTGTGAATTTTTTTGCGAGATTTGTTTCCATGTTTTACTCCAAATAAAATCGTAGATATATTTAAAATATAGGTAAAGCTTCTGTCTGACAAAACTTGGTGGGCACGGTGATTTATCTCCATATTAATGGAGAAGATTAGGGTTTTCTCGCATAATTAAGTTTAAAAAAAAATTAAGAGCATGTTTCTCAGGCGGCTCACGAGGCTCTGCCATGGTAAACCTGTGTTGATAAGATCCTCTCTTCGCCTTCTCTCTAATAGCTTCTCATCTTCATTGCTGCAAACCCCTCCTTGTTCCATCATCTGCGCGCATCCTTGCGGAAAGGATCTCGGGAAACTCGTGATTATAAATGCTACTGAAGATTGCTGCACTTATTTGGAAAAGAAGGTGCCTCTAGAGTTGATGAAGGAAATGGGAACAATCGGGTCATCTCATGGCTGGGTAGCTACTTTGAAGGACGATGGAATAGTGTGTCTCCAAGATGATCTAAACCCGGTTGCATCCGATTCATATCCGAAGCACATTCCCCTGCCTCCTCTTGTAACTCTGCCTCATTGCCAAACCCAAATCGTCACCAACATAGCAATGTCGTCATCTTCTCCAGAGGAAGAGGACTGTGTTGTGGCTATCAAGTTCTTGGGAGCTCAACTCAGCTTTTGCAGACCCGCTCAAAGTAACTCCGAGTGGACCAACATCAGAATCCAAAACCCCTGCTTCTTCTCCTCCCCTGTTATGTTTTCCAAGAAAGATGACACGTTTCGCATACCCGGATCTG